CCTGCTTAGTGGGAGGCCTGCTTCTCCCTCTCCCACTCCCCCTGCTTGTGTTCCCTCTCTCGCTGTGTCTCTCTCTGTCAAATAAATAAAATCTTAAAAAAAAAAAAGTCACGAAGCCCAGTGAAACGGGCCCATCTTGATGGGCGGAGCTAGCGAGTCTCACTGTATAGGAGTCATACATAATTGTCCCTGTTTCGCCAAACTTAGACTTTTCTCTTTCTCTCCCCAGAAACAACTACTGATGAGCACTCATATTTTTACGGGTCATCTATAATTAAGCACTTTCCTAATTTGCCCAGAACAGAAAAAGGCCATTTTCTTTTCTAAGGCTGTTTAGTAATGGGTGGTAGTCACTTGGGAAAGCCCCATGGAGGCGTCATCTTGAACTCCATGTGATCATCAGATATTTTTCTGGAAACTGTAGATCTGTTCAGAAAAAGACAGGAAATAGGTGGGGATTGCACAGCAATAAATACTATACATTCTTCGATATTTTGTCTATCGAGAAAAAAAATATCTAGTTCTACTGTATTTTTTCTCATGAAAAGATGGGAAAATATGAAGCACAACTAAACCTCTTCCAATTTATAGATCTCGACCTCCAACTGTTACTTCATTCTTCGTTTATGTTGGATGCGACTCATGTTTATCTGGCCCTTTGGCTTATTGCTTCTGAGACAAATGAGCGTGTTTGGAATATGTCTAAAATTCACGTACCCTCAAGAGAAGTAATTTTTCTCTACCTTTGTCAGCATCAGAGAAATGTAATTAAAAACAAAATCTCCCAGGGGCATCTGGCTGGCTCAGTCGGAAGAGCATGTGACTCTTGATTTCAGGGTCGTGGGTTTGAGCTCCACATTCGTTGTAGAGATTACTTAAAAATAAAAATCTTAAAAAAAAAAAAAAAATCTCCAACCCAGGAAATCTCTCCACTAAGGTAGAAGAAAAAGAAATTTCATTATTGAATAAGCATCAAGCCAGAATGTGATGTGGATCATAAGCAGTCACGAAGAGATTACAAAGACAGAAAGGAATCTCACCCTTTTATATGGTCAAGTGGATACAACCCATTACGTACATGTTCCTAAGATAGACAATAAATGACTAGCCATCCAGAAAGAAGACTTGACAGCACCATTTATTACATAGTTCATCCTAACTTCACCTGGTAATGGGGTGACCATCTGTGTTAGTTCACTGATTTTATACAAAGGAAAAATAAACTCTTATCTTCATGACAGGAGATAGTTTTTCAACTGGGAACAAGGTATCCACTGAAGGTAGGCTCCTGCCCTCCCACAGAAACTTCGAGAGAGGGGTGCTATCTCCCTAGTTTACATTTTATTTATTTATTTTTTTAAAGAGTTTTTATTTATTTATGTGACAGAGAGAGACACAGCGAGAGAGGGAACACAAGCAGGGGGAGTGGGAGAGGGAGAAGCAGGCTTCCTGCGGAGCTGGGAGCCCGATGCAGGGCTCGATGCAGGGCTCGATCCCAGGACCCTGGGATTATGACCTGAGCCGAAGGCAGATGCTTAACGACTGAGCCACCCAGGCGCCCCCCCTAGTTTACATTTTAAAGGGATGGCTCCCAGGTGTTTGAGAAAGACATTCCTGGGTCATAGAGCTGACAAGAGTCTTATTTATTTGTTTGTTTTCCAGTATAGTTAACATACAGTGTTCTATTAGTCTCAGGTGTACAATAGAGTGATTCAACAATTCTATACATTATTCAGTGCTCATCACAGTAAGTATACTCTGGCAAGAGTCTTATTTAGCTTCTAAGAAGATTTTATACACTTCGAAGACACAGAGAAAGAACTTAAAATTGCAAAATTTCTCAACTGAATGCTCTAAAAAAAGGGAAGGGAAGGAAATCTCTTTATTTTCAACAGGGAAAATTAAGCCTCATTTCTCATTCGTATTTGTCCTTACATCAGGCAGGAGCCCTTTTGTGTAAGCCCGTGATTGTTAGCAACCGTGGTGTTCTGGGTACTTGCTGTTCTCATCAGCTTAAAATGGATTCATCCATTCCTTCGTTCATCTGATTATAATTAAATCTTATGTTTCCAGAAACAAGCCTGGACTTTGTTGGCTCAGAAGTGAGTTAGACAGATTCATCAAAGAAATTATATTCCTTTGAGAGGGAGAGACAATAAATACATAAACAAATAAATTTACTTAATTTATTTACAAGTGAATTACAGGGGCTGTTAAGGGTATGAAGACAAAATAACGAAAAGGACCACACTTGTTGGAAAGTGTTATTTTAGGAAAAGGTTTTTTTTTTTTTTATTTTAGGAAAAACTTTATGTGGAGGTAGTATTTGAGCTAAATGTGAAGGAAGAGATGGGGTTCTATAAGAGAAGAAGAGGGTCACAAGCAAAGAGAAATCGAGAAAAACTTTGAGATTTTGGGCCTGAGCAAGAGAATGAATGTAAGTGACAGTTACTATGCATGGGGACACAGGGAAAATGTACATTGGAAGCTTGAGATGCCTTTTAAACATCAAAGTATAAATGTTAAGAAGACAACAGGCTACATAGTTTTAAACTAGCATTAGATGCCTAGGAAGGATATATAATTGTGGGAGTCATCAGGATATAGACATCATTTAAACCAGGAATCCAGATATCTTTTTCTGCCTATGATAGAGTGGATGGGGAAAGCCTCATGCTCCCACAAAAACCAGATTAAAAGGGAAATAAGATTTTAAGAAATGAATCTGTATGACATCATCAGAGAGCTGCCTAGGGAACTAGGATTTGAGTGGGCACATGGCAAAAGGAAGTGAACCAGAACGAGAGGCAAAATTCTTTATCTGATTTTTGCCTATTGGCACTGGGCTGTTAATAGCAGGAGGGAGCCTGAAAACCCAGGCCCACGAAGGTCTGGGCAGCATGGTTGCTAAGGGTCAGGGATGTAAGCAACACAAAGTGGCAAGATTGAACTTTGTGGATGGCAAGGAAGCCAGGATTCGGGTGGCCAATATTCCAGGGGGCAGGGTTAACCATGTGAACTCACTAGCTCTTGGGCAGAGAAACGCTGGCTGTGCTAGGGGAGGAAAGGGATTGTACCCCAAAGAAGCCCCAGATCCTAGTTGGCTTGTACCATCAGGATCAGGAGGCTGAATATTCAACACACCTCAGCTCTCTGAGCCTCAGTGTTCCCTTCTTCTAGGAAGGAAATAGAATAGAAATGTCTTCATTGGTCACTGGGAGGATTTAATGCTTAGAACAGTGGCAGGCAGGTGGGAAGTTTCCAAAAACTGTGGAAGCTCCTGGAACATCTGATGGATGAATGAAGTGACAGACCATGAGCTCTCTTTGTGCGGTCCTGGGCTCTTCCGAGCAGGAGAGTTCCAGCCCCACCACGGGGCCCACAGTTCTCCTGGTAGACTACCATAGCTCTGCCTCGGCTGTCCCTCTCCCTGCCTGGGTCCGCACTGGGCGCCCAGGTGTACATAGCAGATGCCACGGAACCACCTGCCTCCCACGTGCCCAGCACCTCACCTGAGACGGTGGCTCTGACATGTGAGGACCTCGAGGTCTGTGGGCCACGCGCCTTCTCCTGAACCCACCCAAGGGCACCAAACACATGATTATTTAATGAACACAAGAAGTTTCCGTTTCTGCAGCCCTCCATGCAGCTCCTAAACTCAATGCATGCAGAACCAATGTCTTATTGCCCAGACCCATGTCTCTTGCAGAACACCTGATCTCATCACCTCGCCTTCTACCTGCCCAGCCTCAGCACCTGTGTGTGGACCTCTGTGTGTGGACCCAGTGCTCTGCACAAAAGTGTTGGAACCTGTAGATCTGTCTCCCCCTCTGCTATGACTCTTGGTCCCGAAACTTGCTCCCCATTCCCAGTATTCCTGCCTCGGTCCACTGCAGCCCTGTCGTGCCCCCAGGATCATTGCGGGGCCCACCCCAATCCTCTGGCCATTCTTTTTTTTTTTTTTTTTTTTTAAAGATTTTATTCACTTATTTGACAGATAGAGAGCACAAGTAGGCAGAGAGGCAGGCAGAGGGAGAGGGAGAAGCAGACTCTCCACTGAGCAGGGAGCCCGACGTGGGGCTCGATCCCAGCACCCTGGGATCATGACCTGAGCCAAAGGCAGCCGCTTAACCGACTGAGCCACCCAGGCGCCCCTCCTCTGGCCTTTCTACATACTGCTCAGCATGCACATGATCACCCTGTGCAGTGCCGCCTTTGAGATCTCCTGCCCAGACTTCACTCCCATCCCGTGTTTCCAGGTGCTCCTATTGCTGCCCCCTGTGTCTGCCCCACTGGCTCCTGTGTGGCCTTAGGAGATCCATGACCATCCTGTAAAATGAGTTTCAGTATAGGAGGTTCTTTCCATGCTTGGGTAGAGTGCAAGGTGGCAAAGGAGCCTGGGGTGGCTCAGGGCTTGGTAAGACAGAGTGCAAGGACGAAGACATGTTCATAGGGTATTGGGGAAGGGAGGGAGTAGCGGTCCTCATGCCCTAGATTTGCTGACTCTGCACCTGCTAAGGCCCATTCTGGCATGAAACAGCCCTAGATTCCTCACATGGATGAGGAGGAGACTCTCATGTTGCATGACCTCCCCAGGACATAACTGGGTTGGGCAGGGCTCCTTGCTGAACCGAGGCTTCCAAACTTTCTTGATCCTCGCGGATGGCCCCACAGGCTGCCAGGCAGGCAGCCTGCCACTGCCCACCCATGCTAATGTCTCCTCCACTATCTTTGTCCCCCTTTGGGGGCTTTCCCTGAGCACCATCTGTGGCACCGCCCAAGCAAGGACACGTGTGGTGCTTCTTCCTGATATTCAGGATGGATGGGTTCTCTTCTGGGACAAAGATAGGCAAAACCAACCAATGGCCATTGGGGGAATAAACTTTTCCTTTTATTCCACTCAAATCCCTATAATGCAGAACAATGAGCAGGGGATCTCGTCAGGCTCCTGAGTTGCTTTGCCTCCAAGTTTCTGCTTCTCTTTCTCTCTCTCTCTCTCTCTCGGACTTTCTTTTTGTCTCTCATATTCTTTCTGTAGGTATCTCTCTCTCTCTGAATTTGTCTTCTTCTTATCTTTACAATCTTTCTCATATACATATTCATTCATTCACGCAAGCAGTAAAACAAATACTTACTAAATACCTCCTAGGCGCCGGGCACTGTGCCAGGTCTCTGGACTGATCAGACAAAACTTCAAGAGAGCAAGAGTCTCTGCCCTTGCCTCCCTGGAGCATGCCAACCTAACCTTACTTCTACTTTCTGTCTCGCTCTCTCTTCTAGGCGAGTCAGGGAGATCAGGGAAAGTGAAGCCTGAGTCCTCCGCCTGGTGAGCCCCAGTGCTCAGAAAAGGGACTACAAAGAGTAAGCACACATTCTGTATTTGCTGAGTAAATGATGCATTACGGACCTGAACCTGTGACCAGAGGGATGCAGTTGAAAGACACAGGAGACTGTGACTTTAGAGATTTGGGGAAGCATGGGTCTCAGGGGCATAAAACATGAATTGCAAATCTTGGGTGCCATCTGTTCTCTCCCTCTGCCCCACCCCAGATCCGTGGTGTCTCTGAGAAAAGAGATTTTGTACATGCCTGGTACGCTGGCTTTTGTGCCTGCTGCCCAGAGGACACATCTCTCTCTCTCTCTTTCTTTTTTTAAGATTTTATTTATTCATTTGAGAGAGAGAGATCACAAGCAGAGGGAGGGGCAGAGGGAGAGAGAATCTCAAGCAGACTTTGCGCTGAGAGCTGAGCCCAACGTGGGGCTTGATCTCATGACCCTGAGATCACAACCGGAGCCCAACTGCACCAGGCAGGTACCCCTATTTGTACATGTTTAAAAGCTCCTGCCTAAGGGTCAGAAACTTCCAATCAGCCTGAATCTAGTGCTGACTGAGATCCTCCCCTCTGGGACACTGACACGTCTTCGTACACCCTCCAACTACTAGGAACCACTAAAAACAAAGTAGGCTACTTGGACAATCACCAGAGTTTGAGAGACAACCAAGAGATAGGGCAGGGTCAACTGATAAGCTTTATCTCCCACACTAGGCCACTTGCCAAGACTGGGAGAGGTGGCTGTTTTATCTAATGCAGAAAAACCAACACAGAGTCAAGGAACATGAAGAAACAGAAGGATGTGTTCCAAATGAAAGAACAAGACAAAACCTCAGAAAAAGACCTTAATGAAATAAAGATAAGTGATTTCCCTGATTCGGAGAAGAAAGGATGAACAGAGTGAGAATGCCTTCCTTACTTTCAATGTCAATTTAATGCACATTTGTTGTATAAACACAGGGACCCATAGGCTGGAGGCAGGTAGAATGAAGAACCCTGAAGTAATTCTAGGAATACTTAATCAGAGAGAAAATAAGAAACCGAGAGAGAGAGAGAGAGATCTCGAGACACAGTCAGTTTGAAATCACCATTCTCACCCTAAAGAGGGTTAAGAGCAGGCAATAGCCTGAAAATCAGTTCTAACATTCAATGTCCCGGACCGTGAGAGTGGGAAGAAACTTATCACCAAATTCTAGTCCTGTGTGTTGTTTTGTTTTGTGGATATTTTGTCCTTTTATTGATTCCACATTGGACAGGTTTTTAAAATTTTAGAGAGGGTAAGACAAAGGCTGTATTAGAATTGAGTACCTTTGGGCACATCTAATTGACATAAATATATTCAAATCATTTGTGCATAGAGTTATGTATACTATATATATATGTATATACACTATATATGTAACTGTAACTCATCCTGGGACACTTAAGGTTTTTCCCACAAGTGCTGTAGATATTTACTTAGTTTTTGTTTTTCTGAATTTTTTAGGAATTTTCTGAATTTGAGGTTTTTAAAAAATACTCCAGTATAATTAACAGTGTTAGATTAGTTTCAGGTGTACATTATAATCATTCAACAATTCTAAACATTACTCAGTGCCCATCATGATAAGTGTCCTCTTGATCCCCATCACCTATTTCACCCATTCCCCCCACCCATCTCCCCTCTGGTAATCATCAGTTTGTTCTCTCTGCTTTTTGGTTTCTTTTTTTCTTTTTTCTTTTTTTTTAAGATTTTATTTATTTATCTTAGAGAGAGAGAGTGAGAAAGAGCATGAGAGGGGAGACAGTCAGAGGGTGAAGCAGACTCCCCATTGAGCAGGGAGCCCGATGCGGGACTCGATCCTGGGACTCCAGGATCATGACCTGAGCCGAAGGCAGTTGCTTAACCAACTGAGCCACCCAGGCGCCCGGTATCTTTTTTTCCTTTGTTCATTTGTTTTGTTTCTTAAATTCCACATATGAGTGAAATCATATGGTATTTGTCTTTCTCTGACTTATTTCACTTAGCATGATACCCTCTAGATCCATTCATGTTGTTGCAAATGACAAGATTTCATTCTTTTTTTTTATAGCCAAGTAATATTCCATTGTGTGCATAAATATTCTCTCTCTATATGTATATATACATATCTTCTTTATCCATTTGTCTGTTGATGGACATTTGGTCTGCTTCCATATCTTGGCTACTGTAAATAATGCTGCAATAAACATAGGGATGCACATATCTTTTTGAATTAGTAGAATTACTGGATCATAGGGTAGTCTATTTTTAATTTTTTGAGGAACCTTCATGCTCTTCTCCATTCCCACCAGCAGGGCACGAGGGTTCCCCTTTCTCCACGTCCTTGCCCACACTTGTTGTTTCTTGTGTTTTTTATTTTATTTTATTTTATTTTATTTTTTAAAGATTTTATTTATTTATTTGAGAGAGAATGAGAGAGAGAGCACATGAGAGGGGGGAGGGTCAAAGAGAGAAGCAGACTCCCCGCCGAGCAGGGAGCCCGATGCGGGACTCGATCCAGGGACTCCAGGATCATGACCTGAGCTGAAGGCATTGCTTAACCAACTGAGCCACCCAGGCACCCTTGTGTTTTTTATTTTAGGTGTTCTGACAGGTGTGCAGTCCCATGTGTTATTTGCCCATACATGAATATATTTGAAGAAAAGTTTAGGATGTATATCAAGGTCTAATAAATTTGAACATACATTTTTGTTGGTATTAAAGGTAGTGAATAGTCAGTCAAGAGCTTGCTCATTCATTTGAATTAGGTAAACCAAAAAACAGGTTTTAATTTTATAATTAGTAAAATGGCATACATAGTTCAGGGAAACTGACTTAGAAAGGACTAGAATTACTGATATGAAAGATACTGGAAGACTCCCTTTATCTCTCTTGAAACCAGAATTTTTTTCCTTTATGGCAATTTCTTTCTCTTTAAAGCACATTCTCTTCAAACCAGTTTCCTATGAACCTAATTCAACAGAATGAAAAATGTGTCCTCCCATAGTTGTCAGGCTTGTACTTGATGGGCCTGTCAATGTGAAAGGTTTTCCACTGCAAATTCTGAGGAAGAGGACATTTACCCCTGAAAAGCCCAACTGGTTTTGGATAATGGAGTAGATAACGTTGTAGGGAAAACGGGGCTTCCAAGAACCACTACTGCGGGTCAGGCTGGAGGCAGCAGTTCAAGGAAGGGGTTGTCCCCACTGAGCCTCACAGAGGAACTCATAGAAAATAGTGGAATCAGTTGTCAAGTTCTTGGAAGAAAAGAATTGGGTCACAAAAGAAAGGCACCTCCTGTGGGAGCCAGGTCCCACGGGCCCTGTGCCCTTAGCAGGGCCTCTGTGGGGAAATCTGTGTGGCCCATGCTTCCTCCTTCCGCCGGAAGTGAAATGCACAAGGTGGAAACCCAGGAGCTGCGTTGGTGCTAAGAGATAGGCCGTGCCCGCGGATTCCACGTCCCAAAGTAGACATATAAACATGCCAAGCAGGGCGCCTGGGTGGCTCAGTGGGAAACCTGCTTCTCCCTCTGCCTGCCGCTCCCCCTGCTTGTGCTCTCTCACTCTCTCTAATAAATAAATAAAATCTTAAAAAAAAAAAAAGTGCCAAGCTGATTCCCTACACCGGTGATTTGGAACTTAAAGGATGTCCCACAGAGACTTGAATTTGATGACTGTGAGTGTGTGAGTCGAAATTTCCTAGAGTTTTGACAAGTTCATCAGCTCCTAGAACGGCCCCAGATCCTGTACTTTCAGTTCCCAGCACCAAAGGTCTTGTGGAACACGTTTAAGCAATGAACACTAACGTGCAAGCACTTGGAGGGATGCCCTCAGCTGCGGGGATCTGGCCCCGGGGAGGAGGCTGAAGCGTGCACACCTGCGGCCTGTTTCTATCGGAGCCAGATGAGCAATGGGTGGAAATCGCCCCGAGTGCTGCAGACGTGGGCCAAGCCTTTAAATTCAGAGCAACGGGAGAGGAGCCTGGATGGAGGTGCAGCCCGTGCAAGATGGAGTTCCTTGTGCCTGATGTGCCGCTGTTGAAAATCTTCTCCTTCCTGGACGCATTCAGCTTGCTCCAGGCTTCCCAAGTGAACAGGGTAAATGCTCTCCACAGGCCGTTCTCCGTTGGACCCGCCCCACTCCCCTCCACAAGTCCTCGCACAGACCCCCTTCACTGCAGCGCCTCCGCGTTGGGATCTTGGCGACCCCAGCCTTAGACCCACACAGCCTCCCTCACTGCTTACATTTACCCTGCTCAGGCCCATTCCTTCAGCTCCCATAGGCCCAGGTCCCTGGATTGCAGCTGCCTCTCTTGACCAGGTTGAGCACCGATTCGCGGACTAGCCGAGTGCTGCCCTGGGTATTGGGGAGTTAACATCCCTCGCTCTGAGGCCCTCACGTTTTGTTAAGCGAAAAGGACTCTGTGCTGACTACATGGTCCTTGTGACTCCCGTTTCAAGCCCCGGGAAACCCACGTTTCTCCCGCAAGAATTCCTGAGTGCCTGTCCTAGTGGTGATGGGCCTCTGAGGTTACTGTGTCCGGGTCTCCCTAGACTGGGAGGGCTTTGAGAGCCCAGATGGTGGCTGCTTAACCCATGAGGGCCTTGCTCCCAGAACAAAGGAGAGCCGAGGAGGAGCCAACGTCTGGGTACTGACTGCCTGCTTACCTCTTCCTTTCTCCCCCTCAGTGCTGGAATAGGGTTGCAGAGAATGATCAGCTGTGGAGGTGAGTAAGGGAAGGGTAAGGTGGGAAGGCAGGTGTTTCTCATGGGAGGAAGAGGACATCCGAGTGTGTACCAAGGCGGCCTGTGTGGGGCTGCGTTGGGAGAGGCACAAGTGAGGCTTACGGTGAGGAAAGGGTTCATGAGCCCAGTCCTACTGAGGAGGAGAACTGACCAGGGGCAGCCTGGGGGGCTGATGACTCTGTTTCCAGAAACCTGTGTCTGAGGAAATGGAGCTTCTGCAACTTCTCCCTGTGCCTGGGCTCACAGAGCTGGAAGCAGTTCTTCCTCAAACAAACAAGGCTGGAATACCGGATGGCATCGGTGAAGCCAGAGGACTTTATCTTCAAAGAAGCAAGTGGGAACCTTGGTATGGGGATAGGGGTCCCCTAGAGGAACATGACAAATGAGATTTAGGAAACTTTTCTTTTTCCCCCCTGTGTCTTCATTCAGTGAAGAGAAAGAAAATGAAAGCTTCGTGGGACTGGGTTACTGTGGTAGCAGTCATAGTCTCCCTGCGTCTTCTCTTGTCCCCACGCTCTGTGGTGCATGGAGAGACCAGAGTGATCTTATCATGAGCTAAAATCAGGCCCTGTGACTCCCTTTCTCCAAAGGCTTCCTGTCCCTCCTAGAATAAAAATGTTAGACAAAAGGGAAACTTAACAGTGCTTCTACCGTTCACTCTATTCCTAGTACCTCTTTTAAAACTCAGAACAGTTCTCTGATGGAGACCTCTTTATCCCCATTTTATGGATGGGGATTATGTATGTATGTATTTATGTATGGAAACTGAAACAAAGGCGGGAAAAACAAGTCGACCAGTGTCTCCCAAATGGCCAATCTGCAATGGGAACCCATGTTTGGATGACTCTGGAGCCAGCTTCTTCTCTTCTCCATAATTGTTTCCCAAACCCTCCTGAGAGGTGCAGCAAAACTTAGTTATCTTTCCAGAGTCCTCTTTATTTGATTGGATCATCCCTCAATTATCTGGTGGCCCAGTATTGTCTGTTTCCTTCTAGGAATCTTAGGACCTATGGCTTATCTGTCAGGACATGGCCATCCAACGGGTGGACAGGAGAAGTCTGTCGTTTGTACGGTGTCATCAAAGCACATGCTTTATGCCTGGGACGTGCAGGAGGTGAGTCTGGCCAGTGAGGAGCACAAATAAAGCCTCGCTCTGTCCATCCTGTTCCACACAGGCAAGTGCTGGGGGGAAATGCTACTTGGAAGTGATGACAGAAATGGAGTTTCGAATCGAGTCTTCTAATTGGTAATCTGTGACCTTTCCATTTAGACTGTAGACACACAGAAAATTCACTTTTTAATGAGTTTGTGTTTTTTTTTTAAGATTTTATTTGTCAGAGAGTGTGTGCAGACACAAGCAGAGGGAGAGGCACGCAGGCAGGGGGAGAAGCAGCCTCCCCACTGAGCAGGGTGCCCGATGCAGGACTCCAGGATCATGACCTGGGCTGAAGGCAGTCACTTAACCAACTGAGCCACCCAGGCATCCCTAACGTGTATTTCTATATATAAATTTGTACAAGGACTTATTTTCTATTGGTAACGTGGAATGGCTGTGAAATAAACTTTGGGTGTTGTGGATCTTCATGACTTATTCTACCGCCTCTCCATCAACAATGGCATTTGTTACATTGACTTTTTCAGGAAGTGGTCTCTAACTCTGATCACTTCCAAGGCGGACAAAAGTCGTCTACATCAGGACCAGTATATGTAGTGCAAGAATCACTAGATAGGAAATTGGAAGACCCCAAAGTGGGTCCCAAGTTACTGTATTTCTCCCTGTGAAAAGTATATGATGACACTTTTTCACACAGGGTCTTCTGAAGAAAACCCTTTATGAATATATGAGTTGGCAGGAGAATGATAAAAGTCTAGAAGGGACTCCTAAAGTTATACGATGCTTTTTTAAAAAGATTTTATTTATTTGACAGAAGAGAGCGCAAGCAGGGGGAAGAACAGAGGGAGAGGGAGAAGCAGGCTCCCCGCTGAGCAAGGAGCCCAATGCAGGGCTCAATCCCAGGATCCTGGGATCATGACATGAGCTGAAGGCAGACACTTAACCCACTGAGCCACCCAGGCGCCCCTAAAGTTATACAGTGTTATATGTCAATTACATTTCACTAAAGCTGAGAAAATCAGAAAGATACTCTCTTGGATAATTTGCTCTAGGGGAAACCAGTCACCATGTCCCCGAGGACATCCAAGCAGCTCAGTGGATGATCTACTTGGCAAAGATCTCAGGCCTTCTGCCAACAGCCAACACCATCTTTGCAGTCATGTGAGTGAGCCACCTTGGAAGCTAACCTTCGGTCCTTCAGATTATTGTGTCCCCAGTCAACATGCTGCAACCTAGTGAGGAACCCAAAACCAGAGCCACTCAAGGAATCGCCTCCTGAATTTTGGACCAGCAGAAGCTGTGAGGGATAAGTGTTTATGGCTTTGAGTTGCTATGGCATTTGTTAGGCAGCAACAGATAACAGTTTTTAGTACAACTTTTCTTAAAATTTAAGATGTGGAAGCAGCTTTGGAACCAGGCAGTGGGAAGAAGCTAGAAAAACTCAGGAGAGTTTGGGACTTTGAGGAGACCTAGGAAAAACCTAGTGGCCTGCCATGAGGCTGCCAGTGAAAACTTAAAGGGAAATGTAAACAAAGATATTGGACACTGGAGGAAACAGTGTTCTTGTTACAGAGCTCCAGAAATTTTTAACAACATTGTCACCCCGGGTAATGTGAAAACTAGCGAACATGTTCCAAGGAATGGAGTGTTCTTGCTAAGGAGAATTCTAGGCAGAATGCTGAGTGCTGACTGCTGCTTGCTGTTTGTGGTAAAACAAGGGAAGAGGGGAGGATACAATGAGTGTCAGAGAAAAGAGAGCCAAGGATTGCTGGTTCTGAAAATTTGCAGCCTTTCAGAGGGCAAATGATGCTAAAATTTAAGACCGTAGACTCCAAGCAAGATCAATCCAGGGCAGTGTCAATAAACCATATTATAAAGGTGAAGCCAAAGAGTGACTGCAAAATTCTTTATTAGACCACAGAAAGATCTAAGGGGATGCCTCAGAACTGAGGTCAAGCCATGGACCTCAAAGTTTAAAGCCTTGTCCTCACCAGCCCCAGCAGCAGCCCAGGGTGTCAGGGGATTTATCTCAAACACTTGTGGGTGCGACTCTTGTCTAATGACATCAACTCCAATAAGTTTCTTGGGAGACCCACAAAGTTTTTTCAGGGAATCATGTTGGCAGAAATGCTGCCAGCTTGAATGTCAAGGGGTTGAAATATCACAACAGGAAAAGAGGACTTTGAATCCTGAACTTTTACAGGGAAGAAGCAGCCTGTGAAACTACTCAGCTATGGAATTGGGCCACCATATATGGACAGGGCAGGATAACTCAGAAGGCAGAACCCAGAGCCAGTGAGTGGAGCCATGAGTCCTGAAGAATCTTCCCCAGGCCTTAAATCCTGATCAACATACTACCAGCATGTTCTCTGTTGGAGCTCAAATTTTCTGTGTAGCACTGACTCCCACTCTTCTACCGCCATTTTCCTTTTTTTTTTTTTTTTGGATGAGAGTGTCTATAATGTTATCCTTATCTGTGCTATAATCTCCTAGCCTTCTATTTTGGGGATGGGGGTCAGACAACTTGTATATTTAGTTCTGAGGTTTTCACATCAAGATGAGCTGAATCTAAAGAGCCTCATCTCATTAAACGATGAGATCCTAGATTTTGAGATGATGCTGTAATGGTGAGACATTTGGGAGCATGGGAGATGGTGAGTGTATTTTGCATGTGGGAGGGAGGTGAGTTATTAGGGACTGCAGGGTGGAGTGTGTCAGCCAGTCTGGAAGATGGCCTCAGTATTCCTTGTCCCATATTCATGATCCTAGGTAGTCCACTGGACATTGTCACCAACTGGACATTGTGGAAATGATGGTGTGTAACTTATGAAGATATGTCATAAAAGACACTTCCTCTCTCTTGAGTCATTGGTTCCTAGAAAGCCAGCCACAGTGTTATGAGGACCCTTGAGAAGCCCTACAGGGAAGGTCTGTGTGGTGAAGTACTGAGGGCTGCCGGTAGCCAGCACCAACTTGCCAGCCTTATGAGTCAGCCATCTTGGCCTCATCCTCATGAAGCCAATTTCAACCTCATAAGAGACCCTGAGCCACAAACCACCTAGCCAAGCTGTACCTGAATTTCTAACAGAAACTGAGATAACAAAAACTTCTGCTTTAACCACCCAGTTTTTATGGAGGGGGTTTATTTTTATTTTTAATTTTTTTTGAAGATTTTATTTATTTGACAGAGAAATAGAGCAGGAACACAAGCGGGGGAGTGGGAGAGGGAGAAGCAGGCTTCCCACCGAGCAGGGAGCCCGATGCGGGGCTCGATCCGAGGACCCTGGGATCATGACCTGAGCTGAAGGCAGACGCCTGACAATCTGAGCCAGCCAGATGCCCCTGGAGAGGGTTTATTTTTATTTATTTTGCTTATTTAAAGAAAAAGTCCAGTGTAGTTAACATACAACATTATATTAGCTTCAGGTGTACAATATAGTGATTCAGCAATTCTGTACATCACCTGGGGCTCATCATGACACGTGCACTCCTTAATCCCCATCACCTGTTTCCCCCATCACCCACCCCCACCTTCTGGTAACTGTTCTCTATAGTTAAGAGTTTGTTTTTTGGTTTGTCTCTTTTCTGTTTGTTTTGTTTCTTAAATTCCACATATGAGTGAAATCATATTGTATTTATCTTTCTCTATTTCACTTAGCATTATACCCTCTAGATCCATCCATGTTGTTGCAAATGGCAAGATTTCATTCTTTTTCATGGCCAAGTAGTATTCCATTGTGTGGGTGTGGATGTGTGTGTGGGTGAGGACACCCACACACACACCAGTCTTCTTTATCCATTCATGTATCGATGGACCCTTGGGTTGCTTCCGTATCTTGGCTATTGTAAATAATGCTGCAATGAACATAAGGATGCATATATCTTTTCAAATTAGTGTTTTCCTTTTTTTCAGCTAAATACCCAGTAGAGGACTTGCTGGCCCATGTGGTAGTTCTGTTTTTAATTTTTTAATTTTTTCATACTGCTTTCCACAGCAGCTGCCCCAGTTTGCATTTCCACCAACAGGGCACAAGTGTTCCTTTTACTCTGCACCCTTTCAGACACTTCTTGGTCATTGCATTTTTTATTTTAGCCATTCTGACTGGTGTGAGGTGATATCTCGTTGTGGTTTTGATTTTAAGCCACCCAATTTGGGGATGATTTATTGCACAGCAATAGATAACACTGCACAGGCAATCTGAGTGTTACAATCAACATGGTGATTACATCTGGGGAGTGTGCAGAAGTTAAGAGAGCAAGTGCTACAAGTGGGCTTAGAAGTAGTTATTATGATCAATTTATAATAACTAAAATTCTACATTTATTTTGTGTTCTTTTCTCTTTGTATGATATACTTCACAATTTTTTAAAGGCTAAAGAAAATCTAGAAGGGAAACGTTCTTCTGTCTTATTTGCAATGTACAAAATTGATGATGGAATAACAATTATGAGAGTTATATTCTTTGAATTCCTACTGTGGACAAGGCAGAATTCTTTTTTTTTTTTTCTCTCTTTTTAAGATTTATTTATTTATTTATTCTTTAAAGATTTTATTTATTTATTTGAGAGAGAGAGAGCACATGAGAGGGCGGAGGGTCAGAGGGAGAAGCAGACTCCCCGCTGAGCAGGGAGCCCGATGCGGGACTCGATCCTGGGACTCCAGGATCATGACCTGAGCTGAAGGCAGTCGCTCAACCAACTGAGCCACCCAGGCGCCCCTCAGATTTAGTTATTTATTTTGGAGGGAAGGGAGAAGGAGACAGAAATCCAAGCAGACTGTACTGAGCATGGAGCCCAACGTGGGACTCAATCGCACAATCCTGAGCTCATGACCTGAGCCAAAACCCAGTTAGATGCCTAACTGGCTACACCACCCAGGTGTCCCTAGGCAGAATTCTAAGAATGTTTCATGTGCTGTGAAATGTATTATGACAGCCCTGTAAGAAGCCACAACAGTAAGTAACTTGCTGAATGTAACACTGTTAGAGGCAGAACTGACTTGAGCCCAGAAGTGTGATCATTCTTTATGCTCATCACATAGTGAGATCTTGTCTTTGAATATACTGCGTTGTTTCTTTTCTGTGTCCACTACCCCTCCAATAATCGAGATGTTTAGAATTTTCTTATTCTTTTCCCAGAAGCGAGAAACGGATCTGATTTGGAGGAGGCTTCCAAAAAAACACTGGCCAGAAGAAAGCCCAGTAGGTGTGAAGAGTTCCTTGCACACCGACAGTGTTCCTCTCATTTCCTAGGGCACTATGATCTGGTCCAGCCCAGTCCAGCAGTCTAGTATCATGCGTCTGGCAACCCTCCCTCAGATGCATCTTGCATTCACTGCGGATTTGGAGGGAACTGTCAAAGTGTGGAATTGTCAGGATGAGGATGCCCTGGCTACCCTCACCATGCCTCGGGCCTGTTTTTCCTTGGAAATCTGTCTCACAAATGATGGCCCATTCCTGATGGTAAGTGAGCCCTGCACCTAGAGAGGGCCCACAAAACAAAATGCCTGCTGCCTTGACAGGCGTTGTGGCCCCATGACTGTCACATCACGGTCTGTCTTCTTAGAGTCATCCCTACCACATACCCTGAGAGTCCAAACATATCCACGAATGTTGGCCAAACAAACCTCACTACCATCTTGGCCCTTGATCTACCACAAGTATGTTTCCCTAGTCGTTCTTCCAGAAAAGAAGAAGAAAAAAAAAAAAAGCCTCCCTGAATGAGTTCCTATCTATGTCTCTTCTTTCAAGTGTGTATTGTATAGTACTTGACCTCGGACAGGGATTAGGGAGAGCGAGCTGTGGGTTTGGGAAGACATTGAGAAAAGAACAGTGTTGATGTGCTATGAGTAACTATTCTGGAGAAGAGTGCTTTGGGGCTTAGAAAGTTTTATTCCTTGGGATCATTCTCACAACGCGGAAGCAGCTTTTCATCTCCGTTATGGGATCGAAGAAACCACAGTATGTTTTGCAGCTGACAATCCTGCTTTCTGTGTGCTCTAGGACTTCCTGTCTCCTTCCATTGACGTGGTGGTGGTGTTTGGTTTCAGGTAGGCAACTCTGAAGGTGACATCTACACGCTGACAGTGCCTGAGCTAAGGGGTGTCTCTAAAGTCAGTGCATTTAAATATAGTGTTGACCTCCTCCACTGCTCTCCCGACAAGAAATGGATCTTTGCATCTGGGACACATCAGAATGTCTTGCCAGTGGTACGTGTCGCTCTGTGCTTTAACTTTGGGAGCAGAGGGTCAAGCATTAGGAAGGTGGGGTTTAGGAAGTGTTGGAGAACCTGCAGAACTCAGGGAGGACCACACATAGTGCTCCCTCCTCTCAAAGGCCATATTGCATGTAGAATCCATTTTTGTAGCCAAGAAAAAAATGTTCTGGGATTCCTGGGTGGCTCAGTCAGTTGAGCATCTGCCTTCAGCTCAGGTCATGATCCTGGGGTCCTGGGATCGAGAGTCCTGCATCGGGCACCCTGCTCAGCAGGGAGCCTGCTTCCCCCTCTGCCGGCCACTTCCCCGTGCTTGTGCTCGCATGTCCCCCCTCTCTCTGACAAATAAATAATATCTTAAAAAAAAAGAAAGAAAAAGAAAAAAGAAACAATGTTCTTTGAAGTGATAATGTCAAGTTGCAAGAAAAAAAAAAAGTTTGTTAATGAAAATTTGCTCATGAAGCCTGAACAGCCAAAGAGCTAGAGGAAGGTGAGAGAGGTCTCAAGAAAGGAGGATCTTTGGTAACCTTGTTCGTTTTAACTTTCCTTGCTTTACTTTTATCCACCTTGGCTGGAAGGGACAAAGAAGTCCAGAAGTAACTAAGAACGTATCAGCCTCCGAATGTCCCTCTGAGAAACTCTGTGGCCGTTGAGTCTGCCATTTTTACTATGTGGCTCGTGTGGACCGCGCACCAGAGAGCAAGGAGCTGAGAGGAGGCAGCGAAAACCGAACCGCCCTAGACGAGTTCCCCAAGCAGGGAAAAATTTATCCAACCAATGGCAGCTTGATCTGGGCTCCAATGTGGCCAGATGGTTTTGTAACTCCTGGGCGTGCCAGAAGAGCAGCTTCAGGGACTTTGCTCTCTGCATGACCGTGACAGACAGGAGAGGAAGATGGTCCTTGGATGTCAGATGACAAGCAGGGACTACTTAATGCTCCCTAAGATTCAGAATAAAGCTTTGGCCACAGAACAAGGCTTTTTTTTTTTTTTTTTTTAAAGCAGGCTCCATGCCCAATGTAGGGCTTGAACTCACGACCCTGAGATCAAGAGTCACATGCTCTACCGACTGAGCCAGCCAGGCGCCCCCACAAAACAAGGACTTTTAAGGAGGCTTTTCTGGAGTCGCTCCTGTCCTGATGTGCTGTAACTTCTCCCTTCACCTGACTACATGCGCACTGATCTCTCCCCAGGTGTTCCTCACAGAGAGCTTACTGAAACCATCAGAAGGCAAAAGCCCTCTGTCGCTCTCCATCCCATTTTCATCCTGCTGCAGAGCCTGCTGGGCCCCAAGGAGGACAAGCAGGATAACAGTGATGTACCGAAGAGGCTCTTTCAAAAAGACAGGATTTACCACCTTTGAGCTAATGGCTGAGAGGACGGGGGACAGAACAGACATCCAAGGTAGGCTGTGCCCCATCAGAGACACGGTTTCTAGTCCCTTCCGTGCGTGCATTCTTTGGGAGCCATAACTCTGTGGAAAGGGGGCAGGGGGCTGCTTTAGCTGGAGGGGATTTCTTTACCCCGGGCCTGCCTGCCTCTCATGCCTGTGCTCTGACCTCTACTGTGCTCCACCCCGCTCTCGGGCAGGTCTGTTTAGATTCCCATCCTGCTTTAGGGCCTGGATCCCAATGCCTCCTCCATGCCTGAGCTGTTACCGTCCACCGCCCCCTGTTCCTGGGTCCGGGCACCTGTCACCGTGGTCTGTGACATGTGTTTGTCACCGGCCTGCCCTTCGTTTTCCTCACCAGACCGAGGTCCCCTGAAAAGAGCGGGTGGGTTTTTTTATTCCGCGTAAAGCTAGTGTGCGGACTGAAGGAGCCCAGCTTGCCTGCCCGTGTGTGTATGTTTCGCATGAAAACAGCCCGTCAGATTGCAACTTTCTTGTTGCCGCTTCATATGGAGAGTCCTATTTGGATGGGAGTCGGAGACGGAAATATGATTGTCTTTGAGAGTGGGCCGTCCCTATTCCTCTTCACCATCAGTGGCCACCTGCTGCAACGATTTGAGGACCACCAGAGGACCATCGGCAACTTATGGGTGGTAGGTATGAGCCTCCTCCGCCCGCCGCTCGCGGCTCTGACTCTGGGCCGCTCATCCCGGTATCCTTTGAAGGATTCTGTGCACGTCCTCACCACATCCATGGATGACTCTCTGCACCTGTACACGTGGGAAGAGGAAGGCCGTTATCCGTACCTCAGGAGCTGCTGTCACCTGGAGCACCTAGGGAGCGACCCAGCACCGAGCTGGTAAGCCCCGCCTTGTGACTTACCTTGCCTTAAAGATTGCAACTTCTGATCTAAAAAAATGAAGGGATAATAAGAGAGGTTTTTTTTTTTTTTAAAGATTTTATGTATTTATTTATTTATTTGAGAGAAAGAATGAGAGAGAGAGCATGAGATGGGGGAGGGTCAGAGGGAGAAGCAGACTCCCCGCCGAGCAGGGAGCCCGATGCGGGACTCGATCCAGGAACTCCGGGATCATGACCTGAGCCGAAGGCAGTCGCTCAACCAACTGAGCCACCCAGGCGCCCAAGAGAGGTTTTTTAAAAGAGTTTTTGAGGATGTATTTAAATAAACTTATGTCCAGAAAGAGAATTGCTAGTTCTTGGAATGTGTTCACAGCCCTTGCAGTACATTTCAAAAGGCTTTCCAAAAGGGCTCCCATTTGTTTGCCCACAGCAGAACATGCAACATTTATATCCTCAATATCCTGTCTTTACTTGCAAGGTGTATACTTTTTTGAGTTCGTGAGTCGTTTGGGTTGTTTTGTTTTTTTTTTTAAGATTTTATTTATTTATCTGAGAGAGAGAGAAAGAGCGAGCACGAGCAGGGGGCAGAGGCAGAGGGAGACGCAGGCTTCCCGCCGAGCAGGGAGCCTGATGTGGGATCCTAGGACCCTGAGATCATGACCTGAGCCGAAACCAAGAGTTGAAGGCTTAACCGACCGAGCCACCCAGGCGCCCCTGGGGTGCTTCTTTAGCCAGCTGTTTTTATCTCCATTTTAGTTTTCTTGTAGATTGCCTTCATCTAAATTGTTTTTCTTGAGATTTTACATACCATACATAGAGGTCTTATCTTTTATATACGTTGTTGCTTGTCCTTATGTTTATTTTTGGCAATATCTAACAAAGCACAGATACATGTATTCTTTTTTTTTTTTTAAGATTTTATTTATTTATTTGAGAGAGAATGAGAGAGAGCACATGAGAGGGGGGAGGGTCAGAGGGAGAAGCAGACTCCCCGCCGAGCAGGGAGCCCAATGCGGGACTCGATCCCGGGACTCGAGGATCATGACCTGAGCTGAAGGCAGTCGCTTACCCGACTGAGCCACCCAGGTGCCCGATACATGTATTCTTCCAACTGCCAGTACCACTAGCAGGAGTTTACTTTGACAGTAAACCTCCATGGACTAGAAATCCATTGGTTGTTTATTGCAACATGAGTTGTGATTGCCAAATGCTGGAAACTAACTGCCCAAACATAAGAGATTGTTTAACTTACTATGGCATATCCACATCATGGAGTATTGTGCAGCTGTAATTTAAATCTCTATGTTCAGATAAATTTTTCCAGTGTTTTTGAGGCAAAAAAAAATTTAATCATATATAATTGATATATAATTATGCTTAACAGATTTTATTTTTTTCTCTTTATCATATCTAATTAATCTTAGCCTACTCTGACTCAGAAATGCTTTTCTCCTTTCAATAATTTAAAAAAAATTTAAAAATTTATTTTAGAGAGAGAGAGAACGAGTGGGGGGGGCAGAAGAGAGAGAGAGAGAGAGAAGTAGACTCCCCACTGAGTGGGGAGCCAGGCAGGGAGCTCCATCTTTTTTGGGGGGGGGCAAACTCTTTTTTTAAAATTTTTTTATTCTTATGTTAATCCCCATACATTACATCATTAATTTTAGATGAAGTGTTCCATGATTCATTGTTTGTGCATAACACCCAGTGCTCCATGCAGAATGTGCCCTCCTCAATACCCACCACCAGGCTAACCCATCCTCCCACCCCACTCCCCTCTAGAACCCTGTTTGTTTTTCAGAGTCCATCGTCTCTCATGTTTCGTCTACCCCTCCGATTTCCCCCGCTTCATTCTTCCCCTCCTGCTACCTTCTTCTTCTTTTCTTTTTTCTTAACATATATTGAATTATTTGTTTCAGAGGTACAGATCTGAGATTCAACAGTCTTGCACAATTCACAGCGCTTACCAGAGCACATACCCTCCCCAGTGAGGGAGCTCCATCTTGACCATGAGATCACAACCTGAGCTGAAATCGAGAGTCGGGACACTTGACCGGCTGAGCCCCCGCAAGCTCCTCTCAATAATTTTCAATACCTCCCCTTCATATCACATGTTCCATACTGTGTAGCATTATGTCTTTTATCCATCTAATTTTTTTAACAATGCAAAGAAATTTTATGTCTTCCCCAAATAGAATCCAGTTGTCCAACACAGTTTGAGTTTTGACAAAAACATAAGGCCTTTTAATCAGAAGTACAGTCAAACCTCAGAATATTTCCATCATCTCCAAAGTTTTCTTAGGCTCCATTGTAGGCTGTCCCTTCTTCCATCCCCAGCACCAGGCAGCCACTGATCTGCTTTCTGTCCGTATTAATTAGTTAAATTTTCTAAACTTCTATGTAAGTAGGATTACATAGTATATATTCCTTTGTGTCTCGCTTCTTTCAGTGAACGTGGTGTTTTTGAGATTCACCCTTGCTGGGTGTATCAGGAATTCACTTCCTTTTGTTGTTGGTGGTTAGTGTCCCGTTGTACAGATGGACCACAGTTCATCACTTCACCAGCTGAGGGTCACTTATGTTGTTTCTAGCTTGGGATGAACATGTTTTCTTATTTACCTAAGAGTGGAACTGTCAGGTCATACGGTATGTTTGACTTTATAAGAAACTGCAAAACTCTTTCCTAGGGGACTGTATGTCTTCGCATTCCCCCTTGGTATTGTTTCAGTTTTGTTTTATTTTACAGTCCAATAGGTGTATAGTGTGCTCTCATTATAGTTGTATTGTGTATTTCCCTAATGATGTCAAGCAGCTTTTCATTTGCTTTTTTGCCATCCAGATATCTTCTTTGGTGAAACATTGGTTCAAATCCTTTGTACAGTATTTAGTTGGGTTGTTTATTAATATCGAGTTTTGATAGTTCTTTATATATTTGGAATATAAATTTTTTATCGGATAAGGATTTGCAAATATTTTCTCCCACTTTGTGGTTTGTCTTTCTACTCTAACAGTGTCTTTCATAAAGCAGGTGTTCTTAATTTTTTTTTAAAAGATTTTATTTAGGCCGCCTGGGTGGCTCAGTTGGTTAAAAGATTTTATTTATTTATTTGACAGAGAGAGAGAGAGAGAGAGACAGCGAGAGAAGGAACACAAGCAGGGGGAGTGGGAGAGGGAGTAGCAGGCTTCCCGCTGAGCAGGGAGTCCGATGCGGGGCTCGATCCCAGGACCCTGGGATCATGACCTGAGCTGAAGGCAGACATTTAATGACTGAGGCACTCAGGCACCCCAGGTGTTCTTAATTTTGATGAATCTCCAATTTTTCTTCTAAAATGATTGGGCTCTGCATGTTGTATCTAAGAAATCTTTGCCTATCCCAAGGTCACTAAGGTTTTCCCCTTTGTTTTTGTCAAAATTGTATAGTTTGAGATTTTACATTTAAGTCTGTTATCCATTCTGAATTAAATTTTATATAGGGTAAGATATAGATCAAAGTTTCTTTTTTTTACATACAGGTATTTAATTAATCACCATTTGTGGGGGGGGATCCCATTCTTTCTCCATTGAATTGCCTTTACATCTTTGCCAAAAATTAGCTATATATATATGTGTGTGTGTGTATATATATATGTTAATTTCAAGATTATTTTGTTCCAAGGACCTATGTATCTATCCTTTCTCTAATAACACACTACTTTGAAAATGTAACTTCATAGAAATTTTTAAATCTGATGATATGAGTCCTCTACTTTGTTCTTTTGCAAAATTACTTTGCCTATTCTGGTTCCCTTCTTTTCTACATTTTTTTTGTTTTGTTTTGTGGGGTTTTTTCTACATATATATATATTTTTAAGATTTTATTTATTATTTTATGGAGAGATAGAGACCACAAGTAGGCAGAATGGCAGGCAGAGGGAGAGGTAGAAGCAGGTTCCCTGCCGAGCAGGGAACCCAATGCAGGGCTCAATCCCAGGACCCTCGGATCATGACCTGAGCCAAAGGCAAATGCTTAACCGACTGAGCCACCCAGGTGCCCCTCTACATATATTTTAGAATGAGTTTGTAAATGTCTACAAAAATTCTGCTGGGGGGTGGCACCTGGCTGGCTCAGTCTATGGAGCATGTGACTCTTGATCTTGGGGTAGTGAGGTTGAGTCCCACGTTGGTCTTAGAGATTACTTAAGGGAATTAAAAAAATAGAATTTGGGTCTCCTGGCTGGCTGAGTCAGAAGAGCGTGCAATTCTTGATCCTGGGGTTGTGAGTTTGAGCCCCAAGCTGGGTGTAGAGATTAAATAAATACAAAAGTTAGAATCCTACTCAGACACACAAAAAATTCTGCTGGAGTTTATACTGGAATTCTATTGGATCTACAAATTTGGGGGGGAAATGGCATCTTTACAATTGAGCCGGATGGATTGGATTTACATGGATTGGAAGCAATCCATGAACCTTATGTCTCCCAATTTATTTAAGTCTTCCTTATTTTATCAAGTGTTTTTGTAGTTTTCAGGACACAGAATTTGCAAATATTTTGTAAGACTCTAAGTATTTAGTGGTTTGAGTGCTACTATAACAGTAATGTCTTCAGTTTTCAATTTTTCACTAATAGTATGTAGAACTATGATTGACTTTTGAAATATTAATTTTATATTCTGCAACCTTGCTAAACTATTATTCAAATAGCTCTTATTAATCTATAGATATTTTGTGATTTTCCATGTATACAATCATGTCATCTATCAACAGAGACAGTGTTTTTTCCCTTGCTTTCCAATACATATGTCTTTTATTCCTTGTTCTTGACTTATTGCATTAGATATAACTTTCAATAACAAGGGGTGCCTGGCTGGCTCAGTTGGTAGAGCATGAGGCTCTTAGGATCATGAGTTCAAGCCCCATGTTGAGCGTAGAGTTCACTTTAAAAAAAAAAATAACCTTCAATAACAACATTGGAGTGGAGAGCAGATATCCTTGCCTTTTATAGAAATTGTTGCGTCTTTCACCATTATGATTTTCACTGTATGTTCTTATAGTTGCCCTTTATTAGGTTGAGGAAGTTCTGTTCTAGTCCTGGTTTGCTGAGGGTTTTTATCATCAACAGATGTTTAATTTTGCCAATGCTTTTCCTGCATCAATTACTAGAGCATGTGATTTTTCCTTTTTAGATTGTTAATATGACAAATTACAGTGATTTTTTTTTTTAAGATTTTGATTAGAGAGCGAGAGAGAGTGTGCATGAGCAGGGGGAGGGTTAGAGGGAGAGGGAGAAGCAGACTCCCCGCTGAGCAGGGAGCCCGATGTGGGACTCGATCCCAGGACCCTGGGATCATGACCTGAGCTGAAGGCAGTTGCTTAACTGACTGAGCCACCCAGGTACCCCATAACTATGAATTCTTAATTTTTTTTAAGAATTTTTTTTAAAAGATTCTATTTATTTGAGAGAGAGCGTGAGTGCATGGGTGCATGTGTGTGTGTGTGAGAGAGAGAGAGAGAGAGCATGTGCGCGCACGCACTTCCTGCCAAGCAGGGAGCCCAACTCAGGACTTGATCCCAGGACCCTGGGATCAAGACCTGAGCCAAAGGCAGATGCTCAACCGACTGAGCCACCCCTTTGCCTCTCTTTGTCAGTCTTTTGGAAGTTTATCAATTTTATCTTTTCAAAGAGCTTTTCTTTTGTTTGTCTTTTTTTTTTTTTTTCCTCTCAGTTTCATCTCTGCTTTTTTATTTTCTTCCTTCTTGCTTTGGTTAATTTTGTTCTCTAATTTTTGAGGTAAAAACTTAGATTATTGCTTTGAGACTTTTTTTTTTTTAAGATTTATTTGAGAGGGAGTGCATGAGTGAGCCATGGGAGGGGCAGAGGGAGAAAAAGAGGGAGAGAATCTCAAGCAGACTCCCCACTGAGTGTGGAGCCCTACACAGGCCTGAGATCACAACCAGAACCGAAACCAAGAGTTGGTCACCGAGGCATCTCAAGACCTCTCTTTTTAAATATTAGCATTTTTTAATTTTTTTTAATTTTTTTAATTTTTAATTTTTTAGATTTTATTTATTTGCAAGAGAGAATGGGAGACAGAGAGCACAAGAGCGAGGAGGGTCAGAGGGAGAAGCAGACTCCCTGCCGAGCAGGGAGCCCAATGCGGGACTCGATCCTGGGACTCCAGGATCATGACCTGAGCCGAAGGCAGCCGCCTAACCGACTGAGCCACCCAGGCGCCCTTAAATATTAGCATTTGATGCTCCAAATTCTTCACCAAGCACTGCTTTGGCTACAACTTTCAAATTTCAACTGATTAGATTTTCATTTTCACTCAGTTCTATATACTTTTTAAATTCCCTTTTCCCCTTGACCCATGGATTTACTATTTATTTTCCAGTTCTTATTTAAATTCCAATTAGTCAACATATAATATTAGTTTCAGGAGTAAAGACCCGTGGCTTATTCAAAAGTATGTTTATTTTTCAAGTGTTTGGATATTTTATTGCTATCTTTCTGATTTCTAGGTTGAATCAGTTATAGAGAGCATACTCCATATGTTTTTTCTTCTATGTCTGTCGAACTTTGCTTTATGACCCAGGGTATAGTGTATGTTGGTGATGTTTGATGTGTGCCTGAAAAGAATGTGTACTCTGCTGTTGTTGGGTGAAGTGTTCCGTAATTGACAATGGCATCACCTTGTTGATTATCTGTTTCAGTTCCTCCATACCCTTTCTGATTTTTGATCTAGTGGTTCTTTTTTTTTTTTTTTAAGATTTTATTTATTTATTTGACAGAGAGAGACACAGCAAGAGAGGGAACACAAGCAGGGGGAATGGGAGAGGGAGAAGCAGGCTTCCCGCGGAGCAGGGAGCCCGATGCGGGACTCGATCCCAGGACCCTGGGATCATGACCTGAGCCGAAGGCAGACGCTTAAAGACTGAGCCACCCAGGCGCCCCATTTGATCTAGTGGTTCTTTCAATTATGAGAGAAAACTATTAAATTTTCTGACTATAAATGTGGATCCATCTTTTTCCTTTAAATTCTATCAGTTTTTATTTTATGTATTTTGCAGCTCTGTTATTTGGTACATATACATTTAGTATTACATCATCTTCATTAGTTGGCCCTCTTATGTTTGTGTAATAACCCTCCTTGTCCTTGAATATTTTCTTTGCTCTGAGGTCTACTTTACCTGTTATTAATTTAGCTACTCCTGTTCTCTCTTGATTAATGTTTGTGACATTGTTTTCCTCTACTCACCTTAGTGCAGGGGAGGAAATGGTCAACAGGGCTCTACCTCGGTCTTTGCAGGGGAGGGGTAAAGCTACCACCTTTGCTTGGGTTAGTGCAAGGCAGGGATGGTCAACAGAACTCTACCCCCACAGTTTCTGGACTCCTGGAGAAGAGGAGTAGGAGTATCACCTCATTAATACAGGATGAGATGGTTGACAGGGCCATGCCCCACAATCTCTACATCACCCCCATGGGGAGGGAGGCATGGCCTCTTAGGTGTTCTCCTGGAAGAGGGCAGGTATAATCAAAGGGAACAGAATTCTACTTTAAAATGAAAATATTCGGGGCACCTGGGTGGCTCAGTCATTAGGCGTCTGCCTTCGGCTCAGGTCATGGTCCCGGGGTCCTGGGATCGAGGCCCACATCAGGCTCCCTCCTCCACGGGAAGTCTGCTTCTCCCTCTCCCACTCCCCCTGCTTGTGTTCCCTCTCTCACTGTGTCTCTCTCTGTCAAATAAATAAGTGAAATTGAAAGAAAGAAAGAAGAAAGAAAGAAAGGGGCCCCTGGGTGGCTCAGTTGTTAGGCGTCTGCCTTCAGCTCAGGTCATGATCCCGGGGTCCTGGGATCGAGCCCCACATCGGGCTCCCTGCTCAGCGGGAATCCTGCTTCTCCCTGTCCCACTCCCCCTGCTTGTGTTCCCTCTCTTGCTGTCAGTCTCTCTGTCAAATAAATAAATAAAATCTTTAAAAAAAAAAAAGAAAGAAAGAAAAGAAGAAAGAAAAGAAAAGAAGAAGAAAGAAAAAAGAAGAAAGAAGAAAGAAAAAAAAAGAAGAAAGAAAGAAAAGAAGCGGGGCGCCTGGGTGGCTCAGTTGGTTAAGCGACTGCCTTCAGCTCAGGTCATGATCCTGGAGTCCTGGGATCGAGTCCCGCATCGGGCTCCTTGCTCAGCGAGGAGTCTGCTTCTCCCTCTGACCCTCCCCACCTCATGCTTTCTCTCTCTCAAATAAATAAATAAAATCTTAAAAAAAAAAAAAAGAAAAGCAAGCAAGAAAGAAAAGCAAGCAAGAAAGAAAAGCAAAAAGAAAAGAAAAGCAAGAAAAAGAAAAGAAGCAAGAAAAAGAAAAGCAAGCAAGCAAGCAAGAAGCAAGCAAGCAAGCAAGAAGCAAGCAAGCAAGCAAGAAAGAAGCAAGCAAGAAGCAAGCAAGCAAGCAAGAAGCAAGCAAGCAAGAAGCAAGAAGCAAGCAAGCAAGAAGCAAGAAAAGCAAGCAAGAAGCAAGCAAGAAGCAAGAAGCAAGCAAGAAGCAAGAAGCAAGAAGCAAGCAAGAAGCAAGAAGCAAGAAGCAAGCAAGAAGCAAGAAGCAAGAAGCAAGCAAGAAGCAAGAAGCAAGCAAGAAGCAAGAAGCAAGAAGCAAGCAAGAAGCAAGAAGCAAGCAAGAAGCAAGAAGCAAGAAGCAAGAAGCAAGAAGCAAGAAGCAAGAAGCAAGCAAGAAGCAAGAAGCAAGAAGCAAGCAAGAAGCAAGAAGCAAGAAGCAAGCAAGAAGCAAGAAGCAAGCAAGAAGCAAGAAGCAAGCAAGAAGCAGGAAGCAAGAAGCAAGCAAGAAGCAAGCAAGCAAGCAAGAAGCAAGCAAGCAAGAAGCAAGAAAGAAAGGAAGCAAGCAAGAATGAAAATATTCTCTCTCAGGGCACCTGGGTGGCTCAGTCGGTTAAGCATCTGCCTGCAGCTCAGGTCATGATCTTGGGGTCCTGGGATCGAGTCCTGCAATGGGCACCCTGCTCAGCAGGGAGTCTGCTTCTCCCTCTGCTCCTCCCCCTGCTTGTGCTCTTGCTAGCACTCTCTCTAATGAATAAAAAAATCTTTAAAAGATATTCTCTCTCTCATTAAATAGTATCTCTGATTTGCTAGGTTATCTTGAGAATTCCGGCAGGTGCTATCTCAGAGCAGGTTGGGATTGCTACTCTTGCAATTAATAATCAGCATAACTGTGTCAGATCTGTGCAGTCAAAACCAAATCTAGGAATAACTTCAGTTATCAAAGGACCAGTTGATTTGGGAAGAATATTCATATCTTTGTCAGGTTCAAATTTAGTCTTCTCAACAATGGATATAATTACTTTGCCGTTTGTCCACTGATGATCTTGTTTTTTCTGTTGGCAGCTATGTCTCCAAAGCAATATGTGATGATATGAGCATAGTATGTGTGGTGTCCAGAATTCGTGAATCCAGCATTCTGGTGATGTATTCTTTGCATATGTAATGTGGAAACTAATGGAATTAGCCTTGCATCATCTCCCTCAATGTAGTAAAGAGAATTCTGTTCGCAAACCCAGAATGATTGTTTTAGTGATATTAGGAAAGAAGCCATGATTTAACTAATAAATCAGACACTGTAACAGACAGTACAGATCCGGCACTATGCAGACAGAAGGCAGAGCAACATAGCCTTTGTCCTTGCCAGCAGGGAGAGTATAGAATACAAAGGGAGTAAAATATAACTGGTCGCAGATCAATTCAAAGGGAGCCTATATCGGGGGAAAGCATGACTTCAGACTGAGGCTGGTTTAAAGGGGGCACCTGGCTCCGTCGGTAGGGCATGGAACTTTTTTTTAAAAGTTTTTATTTATTTGACAGAGCGAGTGAGTGCACAGAGGGAGCAGCAAAGGGAGAGGGAGAAACAGACTCCCCACTGAGCAGGGAGCCCAATGTGGGGCTCCATCCCAGGATTCTGGGATCACGATCTGAGCCGAAGATCTGTTTAACTGACTGAGCCACCCAGGCACCCGACCATGCAACTCTTAATCTCAGGGTTGTGAGTTTGAGCCCTGTGTTGGGCGTGGAGCCTACTTAAAAAAAAATTGTAAAAGTGAAGGTCATCTGTATCAGTCAGTGTTCTCTAAAATGTAAGCAAAACCTAAATGTGTTATAAAAACATAGACATTAATATTTAACGGCAGCTAGAAGTGACTCAGGATATAGATGGTAATAAAAAAATGCCCAAGAGGACTAGGATATAGGACATACAGCAAAAGGTAAATCACATGGAAATTTCAATTTGCATAATTTCACGGCCCCTGTAGTGGACATGATAAAGAACTGCCCCCTAAGTTTATCACTGGTTCAGGATCCGGAGTTCAGGGAGAGAGTACGAATATATCAAGCCTGAGCCCCACGGGTGTGCTGTCCTGGCTGTGAGAGGAGGGGAGGACTGGAAGAAACAGGACGTGAGAGGGGGACACAGTACTCTCATGAGAATGTAATCTCAATGGGGGATTTCTCCAAGGAGCAGTGTGGGTTTCTGGGCTGTTAAAGTGCCCACCATTCCCTCTTCCTCAAAATGAAGCTGTGACCAGGAGGATAAAGGAAAGGAAGTCAATGGAGGGTGGCTGGAGATGGACAAGGCTGGGTGGAGAAGCTGACAGGAGATGCATTGTTCTGGGACAGCCACATGTTTGGCTTAGGTCCGAATCAAAATCCGCGAGGAGGAATACATACTAACACGGGGTGGAAAGTCGGGAAGTGTCAAGTCACACAGCTGCAGGATCTAACCCAAATATTTTGTTTAACAAAGGAGAAAAAAAGACCTGTATTTTATAGATCTGTGTTTTTTTAAAGCTTCTTTTCATTGGCATTTAGAAAAGTGAGTTAGAAGTAGCCCTAGCATACGCCTGTAATGAGTATCACGTCCTATGCCAATTTTACCTCCGTTAAGAAAATGTAGCCATCGTGACTAAGGAAAGCCCGTGAGGCTGTTTTCTTTATTAGAATCTGTTATAAAGGGAATATGTGGCAGAGGACATGGAGGTGGAAGATGAGATAGAGGCAAAAATCTGTGGACTATATGTGCATGAGCACAAAGAATGTAATTTGTCAGAGGAAACAGGAGTAAATAGGATCCCACAGTGCCTGTGATTTGTGAATAACTTAGAGACAAAACTGAATTGCTGTTGGGCTTTCATTTTCCAGGAAAAGGTGGTCAAGATAGGCAGAGAAAACTTTCTACACACGGCACCAAACAGTGTTCAAAACTGCAAATGCAAAAGAAAACCTTAAAATCTATGGTGCAGGGGGCCGGAATTGAAGAGAATCCTTCTAAGCTGGGAATGAAGAAAAAGGGTAAATCCAGAAAAATCAAGAAATGCTGCATGCCTTATTCATAGGATTTTAAAGGACTCCACAATGGAACACAGGGCTTCTGCCAAAGTGGAGGTCAGTTCACAGATCTGCAAGGTCCGGGACCCTCAGAAAAGTAACAGTGCTTTCCTTGTAGGTAAACTGAAGGGAAGTCTACCCATTGGAGAAGGATGATGGGGAGAGCTGCCTCTCTCAGCTTCAGGTATGGGTGGAATAAAAACAGGGAAACCGTTCCCTCCAGAGAATTCCTAACCATAACCATACTCTCCTTGGAGGTGGAGTTGACATCAGTCAAGGTCCCAAGACTAGGCAGAGGTCACACACATTAAGGTGATTTGACCAAAGTTTAATAAAGGAACCACTCTAATTTGGGTTTGTGGTGAAAAGAATTCAAGAAGCCACAGAAATAATACACCTAGTGGCATTTTAGCTCCTCTTTTTTGTAAACATCCCTACAGGGTGCTGGCAGTCCACTGCTGACCTATGCTCGCTAATCCAGGCCAGGTTTTGTTTCTGTCTCAGCCACAGGAAGCTCCGTGGGCAGGCACCAGCTGCTGGGAAGAGTTAATCTTCCCCTACCTGTACCCAGAGGGTGCTGGCCTAGCCTAGCTGACTTAGACTCCCCCCGCCCCACCTCTTCTTTCGGTGCCCTGGGCTGGCCTGTGTTAAAAGCCACCGCTGCTACTAGGTGGGGGCTTATTATAGCTACAGAGAATTAAACAGGGCTGTTCCTCTAATTAGAATACCTCTACCAGATATCATTGCTTGAATGGATACATTCAGGTGGTCTATAGATTTGACTAACACGTTCTATTGAGTAAAGACTTCACCAGAGAGAGCGAGGCGTCCTTTCTAGCACCCGTGTACTTCGCTCTGCTACAAGCATTGCAGGCCAGCTGGACCTGCTCCTGACACCGGGGGGTTGGAACTGTGAAAAAGGAAACCATACATGGTGTCCCTTAGGTTAGGTATTAGGTCTTGGTTGGTGGACTTGGGGCCTTAACGTAGCTGCAGTTTCAGCCCCACCCCCGCCAAAATGTCACCAGTCTACATGGGACTTTCCTGGTCAGCACTAGATTTGCTGCTCGACCCCTGCTGTTCCCCTTAGGAGTGCAGCCTTGCCTAAAACAATGGGTTCTTTGCTAATAATCCCCTTTTCCCCCACTCCCTATCTTTAAAAACTTTTCCTTTTCTGTAGCCCTCTGGAGCTCCCCTTTACTTGCTAAACAGAGATGCTGCCCAATTCACAAATGGATGAATACAGCCCCTTGGATCTTTAAAATGTACTCAGTTGACTGTTTGTTATTTAACAGAATTAATTGCCCCACCTGGGGCAGCACCATAGGGGTAATTCCCAGGAGACCAACAGATGCCCTGCAGATGACCTCCAACTTTAACCCCCTACTCTGTGATTCTCATCAGAATCTTCTCCTTTTTGGATCAATTCTCCTGGCTCTCTACTACCAAATGGGCAGACTGGCTGGAAAAAAAAAAGTTTTGAAATCCTAGTTTTTGACTTTATAGGATTCTGGATCCTAAGGAGGCTTTATCACTGGCTCCAAAACCAGGCATGAGACCTATTACCTCAAAAGCCAACTGGTGCCAAATTCAAATTTTAACACATTATTTTTGAAATGGCCCAAACAAGCAGAGTTTTAGCCAGCTAGAGCCTGTCTGCTTTTCATATCCCCACTGAAACCTTACCTAACAGCTCCTACCCACTGCTAAGCCAGAGCCCTATGGCTGTAAGCCCCAAGCTGCTGCAGTCATCGGGGGCTCTTTGACCCAGAGCCTCCCCACCCCACACGCACACCTAGGCACAGAAGTCCCCAGCTCCCATCTCTTTCTCCTCTCTCCCAGAGTACCCTTGCCATCGTCCCATCCTGGATGCACCACAAGCTTCCAGTCTCATGAGATGAGGACCTTCCCCTCCACGCAACACCCTCCAAGCACCTCTCAGTAAAGTTTGTGTGTGTAACTGCCTCTTGTTCTTTTTCCTTGATGAGCCCCCACATCCTTTGAGGCCTTACAGACCTACATCCTAAATATATAAAAGAACTCTTAAAACTCAACAAGAAAACAACCCAATTAAAAATGGGCAAAAGACTTGAACAGCTACCTCACCAAAGAGGATACACAAGAGGCAAACAAGTTCATGAAAAGGTGCTCAACATCACTAGTCATTAAAGAAATCTAAATTAAAACCGCAATGAGAGAATAGTGTACACCTATTAGATTGGAGGGGGCAGGTGGGGAGACGGACAATGCCAAGAGCTAGAGGATGGGGAGCAACCAGAACTCAACGACACTGCTGGCGGAAACGCAAAATGCTATGGCCATTTTTGTAAAGAGTTGGGCAATTTCTTATGAAATAAAACATGCACTTAGCATATCACCCAGCAATCCCACTTCTAAGTATTTACCCAAGAGAAATGAAAACTTCTGATCACACAAAAGCCTGTATATAAATGCTTATAGCAACTCTATTCGTAATCACCCAAAACTGGAAACAACCCAAATGTCCTTCAACTGGTGAAAAGATCTACTCGGGTGAATCCATACAATGAGATACTACCCAGAAATAAATGTACATCAACGGCTGATGCACACAAATCTCTTGGACATCAGCCTTAGCAACATTTTTCTAGATCTGTCTCCTCAGGCCAGGGAAACAAAAGCAAAAATAAACAACTGAGGCTACCTCAAACTAAAAAGCTTTTGCACAGTGAAGAAAACCATCAACAAGATAAAAAGGCAGCCTACCGAATGAGAGAAGATGCTTGCAAATAATATATCTGATAAGGGGTTAATATTCAAAATATTAAAATTTATAAGCTATCCAAATAATACCCAAAATAAAAGAAGTTCTACAACTCAACACCAAAAAAAACGATCCAATTTAAAAAACAGGCAGAGGACCTGAATAGACATTTTTCCAAAGAAGACACCCAGATGGCCAACAGACACATGAAAAGATGCTCAACATCATTATTCATCAGGCAAGTGCAAATCAAAACCACAGTAAGATATCCCCTCACGCATGTCAGAATGGCTAGAATCAAAAAGACAAGAAACAACAAGTGTTGGTGAGGATGTGAGGAAAGGGAACCCTCGCGCACTGTCAGT